CTCTGGCGTCAGTGAATAAACAAATCAAATAAATTTATTTTTACGCATGCACATATATTTTTTTATTTTTCTAGCTAAATAAAATAAAATAAAACGAATAAAAATAATATAAATTTAAACTGGTATTTTTATTCCTGACTCTGGCGTCAGTGAATAAACCAATAAATTTACATTATTTTTATTCATGCATATACATTTTTTTTATTTTTTTATTTTTTGTTACTTTTATGTTCCTGACTCTAGCGTTAGTGAACAATTCCTATGAATATTTCCAACTCTGGCGTTGGTAAATATCGCACAAGACCAGAAATACAAGACTCCTGACTCTAACGTCAGTGAATGTTTTCCAAAAAATGAATTTGAAGAATAAATTTTCTATCTCATTTTTTTATTTATCCTTTATTATTATTTGCTCTTTTTATATGGAAATTTTTTTTTAAAAAAAAAATTGCATGACATATTTGTATTTAACAGAAATAGTCCATAAATTGAGCACATCTACAAAAAAAAAAAAAATACAAGCACAAAGAAAAGAAAAAAATGCGAGGGGTCCACAAATAAATTAGCGAAGGCCCCAAATATTTTTGGAATTTTATGTTATCAAAAAGAGGTTTATTTGTTGAAATATCAAATTAGAATGGGCATAAAAATTATGGTCAAGGCATAAAAATTATGCTTGTCAAGCACACCCCTAACAAACACAGTAACTAGTTAATTATTTTAACAAGAAAGGAAGGAAACTTACCTAGGCCTGTGGTTGCTGAAGGTGAAGTCGAAGGAGACTGGGATGAAAAAGGGTTGAGGGCGGCGGCGGCTAGTATAGGGTTCACCGCCCCCTTCTTTTTTATGTTTCTCTCTTTTAGGGTTTCTGGTAATGGCCTCCTCTTGAAGTTTTTTATTTTAGGGTTTCTCTCTAATGGTCCTCCTTCCTCTCTCTCTCCTTCTTTTGCTCTATTTTTCTGGGTTAATTCTCTGCTCTCGGGTTCATCCCTCCTCTTTTCTTTACCCTTGACATCTGTATTTATAGTGTCAGAGTCCCTTTGTGTGTGAGAAATCAAGTTTCAATCAAACTCATTCTTTTTTTTGAAGTTCGAATTAGAATCAAATTCAAAAACAGACAACTATCATTATCTTGAGGATTATCTTGAACAAGGTAAGGATTATCTTGAAGTAGATAAGGATTATCTTGAAAAAGGTAAGAATTAACTTGAAGGTAAGGATTATCTTAAAGAAGATAATGATTATCTTGAGGATAAGGCTATAATGACAAAGGGACATTGTAATCCTTAATTTTTACAGAAGTTGACAAATCATACTTTTCATCGAAATAAATCTCTAATCTTTTAATTTTTCATTTTAAACCCTGTAAAAATTAAATTAAAAGCCAAAGGGTCAAAATTGGGTTATGACAGTTGCCCCCTCTTTATAATATTTACAATGCAAAGATATTGGAAATTTTCATTTTCTTTAGCTTTGTGTAGTAAATTTATAAAGAAAAGTAAACACGGAAAGAGATTTTTTTTTGGTAGTCTTGAAAACTTCGAAAACAGTAGATTGACATGTGACTTTTATAGAGAGAACAAGACATTTGGAAGACGACCCCCTTTTTTTGTTTTTTTATCTTTTTTTTATCTTTTTTTTTAAATGGATCAAATTGTTTTGGGCAACTTGCCCAATGATAAAAGAAACGCAAAGAATTTT